CTTTTCTATCCATAGTGAAAAGTACCTGAGATTTCACACTTCCAAGGCTACAAAACCTCCAAAGCCACATCTGTCTAAACTACATCTTCATTCCCACACCAATAAATAACCAGATCGCTAGCTTGGGTGGGGTTTAGAGAAGTCTGGGAAGAGAGAAAGCCACTCCTTCTCTCGAATGATCCTCCCACCTGTATTTTGGCCGTAGTCCTGGTGCCAGATTGTGAGGGTTTTCTCCGCATCGCTGGCATCCAAGTGCCCTGTGGTGAAGTTGAGAGGGGCTCAGAGTATGGGTGCAACTTATTTCCCCACCCCTCTGTCCATGGATTGCTGATAATAAATAATTTAATAAATTCAGACCAATAATCACACACTGAGAACTAACCTACACCTCAGTTAGTTAATTTGGACTCTCTCCAGTCAGTCAATCTCATGATTTCTGAGCTCTAAATCCTATTCCTAATTAATGAGCCTGGGAGTTTATCCACCCTCCTATCTTGTAGTGAATTAATTTTGGGTTCCCCTTCATTTATTAAATTCTGGCATCTTCCTGCCCTTCAGTTATTGGATTCTGCGCTTCCTACCCTCCCACCATTAATTAATGCATTTTCCCCGCTTCCTTCTTTGTGGCGCCTCTCTGGAGGCAACAGGTGTCAGTAATTGAGCACCCCAAATTAGTGGATACTTTTGACCATAATCTCTTATGCTTCAGCTCCCATTTGTAAAATGGGATTGTCATAAGTATAAAGGGAAGGGTAAATACCTTTAAATCTCTCCTGGCCAGAGGAAAAACCCTTTCACCTGTAAAGGGTTAAGAAGCTAAGATAACCTCGCTGGCACCTGACCAAAATGACTAATGAGGCGACAAGATACTTTCAAAGCTGGGGGGGGGGGACAAAGGGTCTCTCTCTGTGTGTGATCCTTTTGCTGGGACCAGAGCAGGAATGCAGGTCAGAACTCCTGTAAAGAGTCAGTAAGCCATCTAGTTAGATATGCATTAGATTCTATTTTGTTTAAATGGCTGAGAAAATAAGTTGTGCTGAATGGGATGTATATCCTGGTTTTGAGTCTTTTTGTAACTTAAGGTTTAGCCTAGAGGGATTCTCTATGTTTTGAATCGGATTACCCTGTAAGGTATTTACCATTCTGATTTTACAGAGGTGATCCTTTTATTTTTTCTTTAATTAAAAGTCTTCTTTTAAGAACCTGATTGCTTTTTTTCATTGTTCTTAAGATCCAAGGGTTTGGGTCTGTGTTCATCCATGCAAATTGGTGAGGATTTTTATCAAGCTTTCCCCAGGAAAGGGGGTGTAGTGCTTGGGGAGATATTTTGGGGGGGGATACGTTTCCAAGTGGGCACTTCCCCTGTTCTTTGTGTAACACTTTGGTGGTAGCAGCGTTTAAGCAAAGCTGGTAAGAATAAGCTTAGGGGGTCTTTCATGAAGGTCCCCACATCTGTACCCTAGAGTTCAGAGTGGGGAAGGAACCTTGACAGGGATAATACCATCCCCTCACCTCACGGAGGTGGGGGAGTATTGTGAATATTAAATGAACTCTTTATGAAGTACTCAGATATTATGGTGATGAGCGCCATAAAAAAACCCTGAAGAAATGAACAATTATGTCTGCAGAGCAGTGTTCAATTAGTGTGCAGTACATAAGATCTAGGACCACATGTTGAACAATGAAGATAAAACAAAATATTGAATAGCTCTTTGTTCAATGAGCAATGTCCATCCTGTGCCCAGAGGCAGGGGTCTTGTGGAATATATAGTATGTGCTCATGTAGTTAAAAACTGTATCATAATGGATACTCACAAGGGGGCTAATTAAGGTTGCACAGGTAACCTTAATTCTGCATTTCCTAACTTTCGAGTGCTTGACTTTACGACCTTAGTCTAAGTCTACATGAGAAACTTTTGCCGGTATAGTAATGTCAGTTAGGGTTTTGTTTTGTTTTTTTAACAGCATTACTAAAGTGGCAAAAATCCTAGTGTAGACACAGCAAAAGCAGAGATTTTTTTTTGTTGGTAGAGCTTATTTTATTTGGGGAACCAGTGTAATCTATAGGTTTCAGAGTAGCAACCGTGTTAGTCTGTATTTGCAAAAAAGAACAGGAGTACGTGTGGCACCTTAGAGACTAACAAATTTATTTGAGCATAAGCTTTCATGAGCTACAGCTCACTTCATCGGATGCATTCAGCAAAGAACCTTTTTTCCAGTATCAGTGTATATTCACTAGGAGGGGTTGCCAGTGGAGACTAGGTCCCAGTAATGTTCTTTTAACATAGTTCTTCTGTGTACAACTTCCAAGGTTTTTATGAGAACAAACAGGGGGAAAAACCCTGAAATTCCATCATATGGTATTGTGGAAGTATAACAATGTATAAGTATAACGTTGTATAAGGGGACATACTGGATACATTGTATATGAGAGGGCATGCCAAAACATGTTACAAAGTATCTGAGGGAGCACACGTAGGGACAGTTAGCTTTTGAATGGAGAAACAATTAAGGTAGGGCCAGCACGTCTAAGAAGCAGGCATCAGAATGGAAGGTGTGAAGGGCAATTAGTTAAGTTAACTGGAAGCTGTTAAAGGAGATTGTTAAGGGTGGCAGGTAATTGAAGATACGTGACTGGTCTCAGGGATCTCGAAGGGTGGTGACTAAAATCTTTTTCTTCTTCTGTCTGTAACTTCTCTGTAACTTGTTCTCCAAAAAACTGTATAAATTAAGAGGCACAAGCCCCACTCGGGGGGCTCACTTCTAAATGTATTAGCAGAGCAGCTTTGCTAATAAAACAGAGTGGTCTGATAAATTGTGAGTCTGAGTCAAACTTTGACAGAATCATATTGACCCCCACATGTTCATCAGCAGGGTTGGAACCTTTAGATCAACCACGCAGACCTCTGCCACTTGACCTAAAGAGTAACTGATAGCAGGAGTAGCTTTCCATTTTGTCTTTGGACCACTGCTAGAGAGAGATGGGACCCTTTGCCAGTGAGTTTGACAGAAATTTGCTGACAGCAAAAATTTGGTGAGACTTAAGGAATCTGGTATTCTGTTCCAGGCAGCGGAAGCGAGTGTGCTCTAGTGGGCACAAATCCTGGTGCACCATCCTCTCCAACCTGTCTTTGTGCCCGTCTTATTCTTCACTCCCCTTTTTGTCTTGTTCCAATCCCATTCACCTTGCCTATCCAGTCCCAGACCCCACTCCTCAGGCTTCTCATCCCAGGCACAATCTCCCTGCCTCAGTCATGACTTGTCCTGTTCCCCATCCCTATCTCTATGAATTTTTACCATCCTTATTGCTTAACAATTCGAATCTCCCTCCCTGGATTCCTCATCCAATCTTAATGTCCCCCAACTCCTTATCCCATCCTTCCCAGCCAGTCCTAGTTCTTCCCCTCTATTCTGGTTCCTCATCAGATCTGCCTCTCCACCATCTTCATGTTCTCCCCTCCCCACTCCATGATTCTTGGTCCCAGTCTCTTTTACTAGCCATTCCAGTTTCCCTCCAACTCCTCACCAATCTGTCTCCCCTATCACCTACTGAATTCCAATCCAGTCACCTTGCCCAACCAGTCATATTCTTCCCCAACTTCCAACCCAGTTTCCCTCTCTTCCCCTACTACCAGCCTTCAGTACCACTCTCTACCCTCTCTCATCCTGATCATTTTCCTTCTGCAATCTGCTCCCAGCTGGTCTAGCTCCTATGACCTCTGCATTCTGGGCATTGGGAGTAGGGGTGTCATTGCTTTCATGAGACAAACTCTTCTTGCAGGTCAGGAGTCCAGACCCTCACAGTCCATAGCAACCCAGACAAGCAAGTATAGGGAAGGTCCTTTGTATTCCTGGGCTGGAACATGCTCAGCGTGAATAGAATTTTTTTAGAGTTTAGCAGCTAAAATCCTTTAAGTCTCTACTGAACATGTGTAAAAGGGAATTTTTTTCAAATGCTTATAAATTGGCCAAATTTGGGCAGATTTTCATGTGGACAGTAACAGGCCCATTGCTGACATATAGGCCATCTCCCTGCCAAATTTCTAGTCCTTAAATGTGAGTGCTAGAGCTGTCCATAGAAAAGGGCTCCAGAATTTTGTTGTTATGGGTAAAATCCTTAGCATCTTTTTTTATAAATGGCTGAACTGTTTTGGCTGAAAATTTTCAGAACAATTCAGCATGAGGGAGACACCTGGCCTGGAAAATTTCAGCCTAAATGGTTAAAGTTTCACAAAGTTATGAGGAACTAAAATCAGGGCCTTGTAATGGGAAATGCTACTTAATAGGCAGTACTAGAAGTACTCGTATTTTTCTGGGTATTTTTCTCCCATTTAGTGTTAATTGAAAAAATCCATGAGAATTAAACGATGGGAAAATATATATTGCATTCTTTATGCAATTAATTTATTATATTATGGCTAATTTCTTCTTGCTAAGTTTTTCCTGGACCTTCTCAATTTTTGGATCCATAGTTAAAGTTAGAATTATGACTTTCTAGTTTTGACAAGGACAGCACTGGAGCTGCCAATTCCACTTTAAAGATAAATGACACAGTGTCAGTATGAAGATGTATGGTGTTAATTGGTACAATGAATTGGCTGCTTCCCTTGGCTAATAAGATACTGCTATTTCTTTAACAGCAACATACTGGCTACAAATTCTGCAACAGATTTGCCAATTTGTATGTTCACAGAAGTTTGTTGTAGTATAGGGAGAGTGCAAAGCCAGTCTAGATGAAAAAGAATATGTTAATACTTTTTCATGCACATTCTCATAAAATGAAAAAAAAATAAGACCATATATTTTTGACAGAAGATAAATTCTGTAGACAATTCTGCAGCTGTTGACTTGACACACTTGTATATTGTTTCTCAGCTACAAGAAAATGAATTCAGATGGCTATCCGACAATGTGGTGATTGTAGTGAAAACTGAACATCTGGGGTGAGTGTTCTGTACTATTTATACACTGGTCTAAAATATGTTTCTCTTCACTTCAAGGTAACTGAGCTTCACAACATCAAAAACATAACCAGACTGCCTAGAGAGACAAAGAAGCATGCAGTGGCAATTATTTTTCATGATGAGACATCAAAGACATTTGCCTGTGAGTCAGGTAAGCAATTACTACCACATCTCCAGCTTCAGGAAATCAAGCTGTATATGAAACAATGACTCAGAAGATGGATTAAGATACAGCAATAAATAGTAAGCCTTATGTTAAAGGAAATGTGTTGCATTTTTTTAAAGTAACCAATACTGGAAGTTTTGATTGTGTTGTTGTTTACAGAGGTTTTGATGATGATTTATTATTTGTCTTTGTCTGGGTTTTGTGCCCAGATGGTCCAGAGACTCTTGAGGTTTTCAGCTAAGCTTGTAGAACAAGTAAACATACCTATGGGACATTATTAAGGCAAGCAGTGACACGGATTCTGTTTTTTGCCAAGTGTTGCTATAAGCATTTGCTAGGGGAGTGATGCTGTCACGCGAAAGAGAGAGGCAAAAAACAATTAAAATCTCAAGACACTTTAAAGCCAAACTTCAAGCAATTTATGCATTGAACAGTTAGCTGGCATGATGAATGAATAAAGTTCTAAGTGTATTTGGGTATTGTGGTTCATAAAATCACCTATCATTAGTGAGACACCAAATGCTTTGTATTTTCAAAGTACACTAGCTTTCTTGTTTTGAAACCACACAAGTATATGACTATATCCATTGGTGCGTTACACTTAAAAAAATGATTTAAGTCTTTAAAGTTGCACATTTCTTATTAATTGATAACACACATTTGTTTAAGTTGTACTAGATTGTTTAAAGCTATACATTTCCTTAATTATTATTAAACAATATACAGTACCATGAATGCACGTAACAGAGCATTACAGACAAATAAAATGACATTCTGTAAGAGCAGACAGTCTAAATTAGACGTAACACCACAAAGGATAACAATAAATATTGGGAAGGGAGATTGCAAAAAGGCAATATATCATTGGATATGCACATTTAGGCCCCAGTCATGCAAACATTTATCCATGTGCTTAACTCCATTCACATGAGTAGTATCCGTAAAACTACTCAAAATCAGAGGGATAACCTGACAGAGAAGTGAATTTTGAGGTAAAAGGGAAAAAAAATTGCTGTGGCTTTCTAGGATCCAGTTCAGGGGTATCAGCAGCAAAGGTAAATAGGTGGTATGTGTCAGTGAGTCTATTAGTTTTATTTATCTATTTTAGAGTTAAAAAATAATAGACACCTATCCCAGACTCTAGGCCAGTGGTGGGCAACCTGCGGTCCACGGGCCGCATGCAGCCCATCAGGGTAATCTGATTGCTGCCCGACAGATATTTTGCTGACATTGACCATCTACAGGCACAGCCCCTTGCAGCTCCCGGTGGCCATGGTTCTCCGTTCCTGGCCAATGGAATCTGCGGGAAGCGGCAGGCCCCAGGGCCGTGCTGGCTGCCACTTCCTGCAGCTCATGCTGGCCGGGAATGGTGAACCGCAGCCATTGGGAGCTGCGGGGGAGGCCATGCCTGCGGACGGCCAATGTCAGCAAAATGTCTTGCAGCCCACAATTAGTTTACCCTGACGGGCTGCAGGTTGCGCACCATGGCTCTAGGCACCCTAACATAATCATACATAGAATTCAATTACGTTAAATCTCAGCAACATTAAAATCAGTTCAACAGGAACTTGGCTCTTTGATTCTCTACTGCAGCTAGGAAGCATACCCTCAGCCTGTGGAGAACTGGGAAACCAATGGTTTATTTTCATGGGGGAAAAATGTGATTGAGTTTCTGTTCACTTATCTTGTTATCCATGGGGTGTGAATGAGATAATTTGTGTCTTGAAACAGGACAAGCTATGCAGTGACTTGGAAAAAGTAATAAATTGAACTATCAGGGACTGTCAACCTATGACCTGAGTTATAGAATCATGGAATATTCAAAAAGACCATTGTATCAACTTCATAAGTTTTATATGTATCTGCATGGGCTTCGGGGAGAGCTACAGTAGTTTCTTGCAGGAACTAAAATCACTGGGGAGTGATTAAAGCAAATCCAGAGGAGCCTCAACCCCTCTGAGCGAAACTGCATATTCTAATTTGACCTGGTTCAAAAGACTGCCAAACACAAAAAAACTGAAAATGATATAAAATGACCACCCTGATGTGGAAAGAAGGGCACTCTCACTCGTTCCAGATTTACCTGTCTAGCACCCAAACCAAACGTGTTGTCTGAGATTTTTGTGAATGTCTTGGTGACAAATGAAACCAGAGGGAAGATGGGTAGAGCATTCGTGCTAGACGTCTCATGCTGAGACTGGTTGGTTGCAGTGTAAAGATTTTTAAAATTCTTATGCTATGGTTGTGTGGGAGGCAAAGTGGGAAAATAGTGGCAATTAGGAGTTGTTTTCTAAGCCACCTTATTTAACTACATTGTCAAGTCAATTATTTATCATTTTATAGTCTTATTAATATACATGGTTGAAGAGCAACGCCAACACAAAATGGGTATAAAATCTCCAGGCATGTGGCCAGACAGGGAAATTTGAAATTAGGGGAAAAAAACTTTTTAAAAAATGTTACCAGTATCTCATAATACAGTATTATTATCATATTTAATGCCTGAAGCTACAAAAGATAATTCTATTCTGATGATACAAAGCTCTAAAAGGGCATAAGTGACAGACCTTTATTAAGTCTTTTGAGAAACAGTTACATAATTCTTCCTATGAAAGTCATATAAAAGATAAAAGTGACTTGAAGGATCATCTTGGTGTTATTACTGTGTTCAGTAAAATAAAAAAAAATTGTTGGATGAATCAATTCTCAAGACTGCTGTACCAAACTACTCCAAATGGCATAACTTTTATTGTATTTTCAGGGGTCACTAACTGTGGTATTTTAAAACAAGTAGAAAAGCTGTTGTAGGAAATCTTCATAACTATGTTTATTTTTTAAATGAAAAAAAAAAACCTGCATCATGGAATCCTGAATGTAATGTGTAGAAGCACTGGATTTAATGCTCTTTATTATGGGCAGAGCTGATAATATTTTCCCATTATAAAACCCTGTTTAGAGTTACATATGAGTTTGCCAAACTTTAACTATTCAGGCTGAAATTTTCCATGTTGGGTGTCTGCATCAGACTAAAGTCTGTTGGCGAGTTTCACCAGAAATAGTTCAGACCATATTTGGGAGTAGGAAGGAAGATTCTGACAAATGTTTTGTCGAGAAGCTGAACTTTCCTGTGAAAAACCACCCAAAATTGGCCAAGTTATGAGCCTCTGAAAATCTGTTTGAACAATCTCAGTAGAGATTTGTTAGAGTTTGCAGATTCTTTTTTTGACATTTCTGTCTATAATTAGCACACTCAATCCTAGGGTTGCAGGTGCTGAGCAGAACTGTCGCTGTGGTTGCTGCTCCTGGCTGCTGTTGCACTCGCCACAAGAACTGAGAGCAGGAACACTCTCTCTCTCCTTTGCTTTCAGTGCTCCCCCTACTGGGTCCCAGGCAGCATTGCGAGGAAGCTCCCAGACTCGAATGCAGAGTCAAGAGCCAGATTTCAAGCAGCATCTACTATTGTTATCAGTTACTGCATTAACTCAAGATTCAGAGGTCTGAATGAATCTAAATGTTCCAACCATGCTTATGACCCCTTTGGGTGTCAAGGTGATGCCACATGATGGAATATCCATTTGTACAGCTTCATAAAAAAACCCTAGAAAATTACATGCAAGAACATAAGAATGGCCACACTGGATCAGACCAAATGTCCATCTAGCCCAGTATCCTGTCTTCTGACAGTGGCCAATGCCAGGTGCTCCAGATGGAGGCACCCATCTGTCGGCCTGATGTTGCATCCCAGGAAGTATGCTGCCTGTCAGGAACCCATGTCCTAGATGTTTAGATTGTCAAGGATCATCCAGCCCTCTGAATACTATCCCATGCTGCTCATCCATATGGGCTCTAATGATACTGCAAGGTATGACCCTAAAAAGATCAGAAGTGACAACAAGGCTCTGGGAGTAAGGGTGAAGGAATTGGGGGAGCAGGTGGTGTTCTCTTCAATCCTTCCGATCAAAGGTAGGGGCCCAGGCAGAGACAGATGCATCCTGGAGATAAATGCCTGGCTGCAGTGATAGTGCCACCAGGAGGGTTTCAGCTCGCTTAATGGGATGCAGTTCCAGGAAGTAGGACTGCTAAGCAGTGATGGGGTCCACCTATCAAGGAATAGGGAAGAGTATATTTGGATACATACTGGCTAACCTCATGAGGAGGGCTTTAAACTAGGTTCAAAGAGGACAGGTGACCAAAGCTCACAGGTAAGTCAAAAACATGGAGACCTGGGAGAAAGGTTGGAATTTGGTGGGAACATAGGCTGTTATAGCAGGGATAAAGGAGAGATAAGACACAGCTGGAGTGGGGGAATCAAGTCAGTATCTTAGATGTTTATATACTAATGCAAGAAGTATGGGGAATAAGCAGGAAGAATTTGAAATGCTAGTTAATAAACACAACTATGACATAGATGGCATCACAGAGACTTGGTGGGATAATATGTATGACTGGAATATTGGTATAGAAGGGTACAGCTTGCTCATAAAGGACAGGCAGGGGGAAAAAGGGAGAAGGTGTTACCTTATATGTTAAAAATGTGTACACTTGGACTGAGGTTGAGATAGAAATAGGAGACAGACTTGTTAAAAGTATCTGGGTAAGAATAAAAGGGATAAAAAACAAGGATATGTCATGGTAGGGATCTACTACAGACCATCTAACCAGGAAGAAGAGGTGGATGAAGCTTATTTTAAACAACTAACAAAATTATTCAAAGCACAAGACTTGGTGGTGATGGGGGACTTCAACTACCCAGACATCTGTTGGAAAAATAATTCAGCAGGATACAGATTATCCAACAAACTCTTGGAATGTATTGGAGACAATTTTCATTTCAGAAGGTGGGGAAAGATACTAGGGCTGAGACTGTTCTAGATCTGATTTTGACAAATAGGGAGGAACTGGATGAGAATTTGAAATTGGAATGCATCTTAGGTGAAAGTGATCATGAAAGGGAAAACAACACAATAAGACTTCAAGAAGGAAGA